TGCGGTTACATTGTAACTATACATGAGCAAAGGAAGAGATATACAGACCAAGGTTAAAGAAGGGTAGTAGGTGTGGGAGAATGGGCTTGGGGCTCAGAAGACGCTAACTGATTCCACACTATTAGGTGTCTGATTGCTTTTTCGGTTTAAATAGTAAGGAAGATTTTTCTCATTTAACAAGAAGTTCTGAGGTGGGACAAGGGGAGGATATGGTGAGGCGGCACTCCACAACCATCCTGCCTCCTGCTAGTGGTCTTTTCTGTACTGGAGAAGCAGGAAACTACAAACTACATTTCTCAGGTTCCATGTAGCTATGATTTTGGAAAGATTTAGCTTTGGGAGATGCACTCACATGGGGTTTTGAGGATGGAAATGAGGCAGGGGGTGCATTTCTGCAGTTTCAAGTGTTGTTTTGAAGTCAAGTACCTGAGAGTTACTGTAAATATTCAATAAGATTACCTTTCAACCTTGTTCCTAACGGAGACATGGATGAAAAGAAGTTAATCTTGTCAATTTGCTGTTTTCTTGTTTAACCAGAGGGATGACTCAAGGGTCACAAGGATTCATGAGCTTCTTTTACAAAAGAAAGAGAATGCCCTCAAGGAAGTTACGATCACCAGATAACCAGCCCCCAGCTGCCATTGATGCCCAGAAGTCAGATTGGCCAAGAGCTTATCTGGAGTGAAAGAAACACAGATTACACCTTTGTTTCTCTGAAACTCCTCTGGCCAAGCCCCTTAGCTCTATAAAACCCCTGCTTTCTTCTCTTGTTAAGGCAGATTTGAGAGACTATCCTCCTGCCTTATCGAATTGGCCAATTCGAATAATCCTTTCTCCATTTCCAAGCACCAATGTCTCAGTGATGGGCTTACTGCGCATCAGGCACAGGAACTTGAGATTAAGAGGTTTGGCATCAGTTTGGTTTTCCTTTGAGGTGTTAGCATAGTCCTCAGTGACCCATGATTGATTTTGTAGGAGTTGAGAGGCAAACCAGAAGGCATCTGTTTTGCTGGTGTGGATGGTAGCAGGTGCTGCTCGGTTCTGGAGCTGGCAGCAAGCAGGGCTTCCTGATGGTGATGGTTTTCTTAGTTGTGGCCGTGGCATTGTAGTCCTGATTGAAGAAAAGCCAGCAGCTCCCTTCATGGCTCAATTCTGCAGCATAGCTTTGGGAGTCAGTTCTGAATGGTCAGTATAGAGAGCACCTTGTAATAAATCCTTTCCTACCTAGACAAGCTCAAGTCCTTTTGTTCTCTGCAACTGAACTCTGCCCAACACAGGGGACAACTCCAGGGCATGTCATCAAGGATCCAGGTTCTTTCCATCTTTATACTTGCAGGCTTAGCAAGTCAGATTAGCTCTCCTCACGGTCACAAGATGCCTGCAGTTGCCCCTATGATCATATCCAGACCTAGTAACATCAAACAAAAGAATTTTGTTGTTTGTTTTAATTGTTTTTTTAACTGAAGCATCCCCTGAGTCTGGAAAAGTGCCTGTCACATAGCAGGCCAATAATAAATATTTGTTGAATGAATGAATGGGTCACTAGAACCACAAAAGGGCCTGTTTACTTTTCTGCTAAGAGGATATAATAGCCTACACTGCCCTCAAAATGGAAAGAATGTTTCTCATAAAGTAACACACACACACAACACAGGTTGAGTTTTCATATTCTAATGCTTTTGCTTCTAACAAAGCAACTCAAACTCAGCTAAGGAGAAAAAAAAAAGAATGCATCATATTATTATAGGGATACACTGGTAACTTGTGGAACTCAAGAATAGAGCTCTAGCTGGGCCACCAGCTATAGCTGGGGACCCTACAGATGCAGAGAGGCAGGCAGGCCAGCGGGCCTGGCAGTTGTTCCTGAAGGCCACCAGACACTCTCGTCACTGCTAGGCGCTCGTGTCTATTGGCTGCACAGGCTTGGGCCTTGGGCAGCAGTGCACATGGGACAGCAGGTCCTCTGTCTGCCCAGAACTGCGCTGCCCCGTGACACTCTGGAGACGGTTCCAACACCCAGAGAGGAGCAGCTGACTCTGTCTCCAAGAGAACGCTTTCCTCCAGCCCAGGGATCTAGAATGTTTTTTTTGTAAAGGACTGGATCTTGTATATTTCCTGCTTTGCAGGCCACATGGTCTCAGTCATAATTACTCCTGTTGCACAGCCCCAGATGAATGGACATGGCCATGTCCCAATAAAACCTGATTTATGGGCGCTGAGTCACAAAAATAAGTAAACGCCCCGTCGTCCTCCTTAGCAGAGAGACTGTGGTTTGTGACCAATGACGTCTCCAGCCCCACTTGACTTCTCCTTCCTCCTGGTAAAAATTACTGAGATACCCAGTCACTGAACCACCCCACTTCCTGACAACACCCAGTCCAGAACTGATGTCTGATTTCCTTACACCTTCTGAGAATAAGCTTCTCCCAGCTCCCTCTTAGCTGATTGCCCCACGGTTCCTCTAGTGGGCACTCTCCCTGCCACAGCGAGTTAAATAAAATGAACTCTGAAAACAGGGGTTTTCTTAGAGGTCTTTCGTCAGTGGACTTTAAAATGTCAGTAGCCTCACTTTACAGCAGAGAAAATTAAAGTGAACAGTCCTCAGGGAGTTTGTCCTCTGAGGTAGGATTTCATACAAGAGACTGCCTTACTTGCCTACGAGTAGCAGATGGTCTGGGCCGAATTTAAAAGACATCATCTGAGAGAGCAAAATGAACTGGCTGCCAGGACAGGAACTCACATCGAAAATCCTAGAAGGAGGGGCCAGCTTCGTGGCATAGTGGTTGAGTTTATACATTCTGCTTCGGCAGCCTGGGTTCACCGGTTCAGATCCCGGGCGCGGACATACTCGCAGTTCATCAAGCCATGCTGAGGGGGCATCCCAAATAGAAGAGCTACAACTCGACAACTATGATACACAACTATGTACTGGGGATTTGGGGAGAAAAAAGAAAAAGAGGAAGATTGGCAACAAACGTTAGTGCAGGGCCAATCTTCCTCAAAAAAAAAAAAAATCCTAGAAATTCATTGATCCAAAGCACAAACTCTGATGAGAAGATTCATTTGAAAAATTTTCAAACAATTTTTTTGTAAATGTAATACTTTGATCATAGCTGAGAGGGGTATTGTGTCAGTCAAATTGCCTGTTGTCAGATTCATACCCCACCTTTCCCTTGCTCTGCTCTGTGTCACAAGGATCTACATTTCCCAGGCTCCCTTGCCCTCCGGCTTCTGGGTTAGCCAACGGCAGGACTGACAAAAGATTGGCATGCAGGAGGAAGGCAGAAACCAGGATATTTCTCCTCCCTCCCTGCTCCCTGTAGCATTTTCTGCCTCAGCTGCATCCATTCTCTGACTGGAGATCCTCCCTCTGGTGTCCCAGCTCCTGCTGCTCATCCCCGGGGCATCCACTGTCACCGTTCCAGCTCCTGCTCTGGGCTCTCAAGCCACCTCTTCCCACTGTCCCCCCATGTTTAGGTAGCTTTCTGTTGTTGCTAATCTCTGGGTTACTCTCCTGTGAGTCCCATCCTGGCAGCCAGGAAGCTTACCCTCTCCTTGGGACCCGCCTTTCCCTCATCAGCTTCCCTTCCTCCACTAACCACTTCACACCCACCCCAGAGCTGTAGCACTTCCCCTCCCTTTCCTACTTTCTAGAATTCACTTCTGCATTTCTTTTCTCCTCTGACTCTCAAATGATGATCTTCTGCTCATCTCTCTTGTCTCCAACCCTATCATGGCCACAGTCACAACCAGAGAACAAACTGTGCAGAAAGCAGAGAAAAAAAGTTTCTTAGCCTCCTGTAACTCATAGTGTGTGGGGCTGCTGGTCCCGGGACCCAGTCCGCTCTGACCACCAAGTCCCAACATTTTCAATGAATGGTTTAGAGCACATGATTGTCTGGCTGTGGGTCACCAGCCAATGGTATGCCTGAGCCTACTTTCTCCCAGTTACTATGTAGAATATACAAAAATCTTTAAGATTTAAAATTGCACAGTTGCAAATAGCCTTTTGAGATGATCTGGCCCTTTTATTTCCTTTTACTGTTTGCAGAAACAGTGTTTTCATTTTTTTTTATTTATTTTTTTCCCTAAACCTTGAGATTCCCTGCAGATTGTGGGGTTGCTGCTACTAGGAAGAGAGGTCTGGTGTGTAGAAGTATGTATGGAGTAGAAGCCGGTGTTGGGTGGTGGGGAGGTGATGAGGTAAACATAAGCAACCCTCTTTCCTTAGCCAAAGGAATCTGGTCCAAGTTGTTCTGCTTGTGGGGGCAGTGGAGAGATAAGGGGGAACACTGGGAGGGGTTGGAGGGGTAGAGAATAAAGCAAGATGGCAGCTGCAGGAGTAGACTGTAGACTGTGTCATTCATTCAAAAACCATTGAGGGAGAGATGCTGAGGATACTGAGAGGTAAAACATCTTTCTCTCAGGGAGATGGCATTCTAGTGGGGGCGGGAAAATGGCAGCAAACAAAGACTTTCTAGTTGGGCTTCATCCTCTGCCTGTAGACGGACTGGTTGAGTCCAACACTGTAGCCAGGTACCTGAGGGGTACTGTAGATAGTAAACCAATTTGCTGTTTTTCTTGTTTAACTTAAGAGGTGACTCAGAGTTCTCAAGGATTTGTGAGTTTGTTTTCCAGAGGATTTGTGAGCTTGTTTTGCAGAAGAAAGAGAATGCCTTAGGGGAGGTTGCGATCACTGGATGGCTGGCCCTCAGCAGCCCTGAGCCCAATAGTCAGATTGCCCAGTGACCTCTTTGTTTCTCCAAAGTTCCTCCTGCCAAGCCCATTAGCTCTATAAAACCCCCATGTTTCCTTTTCTTGTGGAGGCGGATTTGAGTGAACCCAGGCTCCCATCTACTTGTTTTGGCCAATTCAAATAAATCTTTCTCCATCTCCAAGCACTGACATCTTAGTGTTTGGCTTCCTGTGCATCAGGCACATGAACTTGAGATTGAGAGGTTGGGTGTCAACACCCCCTACACACACAATGCTCCCCTTCAATGTCCCACAGACTACAATCAGGTCATTGTATAGATTTATTCTAGAATAATCTTCCTGAGACGCATTTCTTCACATTTCCCCCAAGAATCATGATGCTTCCCCTGGAGGCCTCCAATTCCTTTCTAATTCAACTCAAAACTGTGCAGTTAACATACTACCAATTAACACACGAGCAATGTCTCCACAGTTTCCTTCAAGGACTGGGTTGCTCTTGGGAAGAGACAGAAGAGGGGGCTGTGAGAGTGTAAGAGCCTGGCCTGCCTACAGCCTCTATCTGAAGAAAATAAGACCCAGGGGTTTTGGGGAAGTTTCTTCCAGAAGTATCCAGTGAAGCCAGGCCACAACCCCTGTCATAGCTGACCTGAGTCAGAGAGAGCATGAGGAGGACCCACTCAGTGGGGCCTCTACCCATGAAGTAGCTTAGCAGGAAACCAGGTCCAACTGGGTTGTGCCACTTCATATCATGACAACCAGACTAAATCATTCTCTGTCTTGAGAGGAATAAATCTAGAGAGTTTGTTCCTTTCTTTGAGTCACCTCCAGCTGTAGATTCTTTCCAGGTGAAGGCAAGATATCTTGGCACTCAGAAAAGATATTTCTACTCTGTCCTGTTCAAATTCCAAATTACTGACTCCTGGAATCAGTGAGCATAGAAAAATAGTTTTGTTGAGTTGCTAATTTTCAGGGCTGCAGCAATAACCAACACATGTATCTTGCTGCAAGAGAACAAATTTCTCAGAATAAACAGCATCAATAAAACTGGGCCCCCAAAGGCACTGCAACAAGGATGAGAAAGCTGTCCTAATTCTCTCCATCTTGAACCATTCTCTTTGAATATCTACAATGGTTTTGCTTTGGTCTAATCTCTCTGTAGGTCACCTTCCTTGTGCTTCTCTAGACCACTCTGTGGATGGAAAATGCCTTCCCACAGCTCCCACGCATACCTGCTACTAACCAGGTGTAACTGGTTACATATTACTGAGCCATTCAATCAAAATGTGCAAGGTAGTCCCTCTGGCCTAGTCTGGGTCAGATGTCCATCCCAGATCCAGTCCATGTCAGGGGGCAGCAGGACCACGTTATATGGGCATATATTGGAAGACAGGAAGTCATGACTGCTAAATGGATAGAGGTGGAGGGAGGGCAGACAGGTCTTAACGGGCATTCACCATATTCTCGGAGAAAGAGCCTTGTAAAAAAAAATGCTGTTGATGCCCAATCTCATAGTCCCTTGTTTCACTTCGGGTAGACAGTTTCCGGCAAGGTAACAATTTCTCAGGTGCCTGCCTTTCTTCTCCACCTTCTCCATCAGCAATAATGTTTCCTCCTTTGCATATACACAGCCCATCCTGGAAGAGCAGAGGAGTTAACACCCTCAGGAGCAACCTTCAACCAATAGAGGAAGGAAGTTGTGAATGAATGTCCCAGGCTCACCACCCCTGCTAGGAGGATTCTGAGGAATAGTCCACAATTTCACATGTTTTCTCAGAGTGCCCTGGGTGGGACCCAGCCCAGTTGCCCACATGATAACCACTAATTAATGTACCCTCTATGCCATTTTTCACCTAGTTGGCTTTTCCCCTTTCATTTATTTCCAAACTTGGGTTTCCTGGGATCGCTTTCCAGACAGACTACCTGAACCCAAGTCCTTGACACAGAGTCAGCCTTTGGGGAACCCAAACTAAGAGATGGGATAAGGTAGAAATTTCACCACACACTGTATCCAACAGTGAGAATTATCTTCTCTGGAAAGGTACACTCTGACTTGCATACCTGATTCTAGTAAGTGAAGAAAGGGCTACAGACAAAATTTCTAAAAATCCACAAGCACTTCCAATCGTGGAGGCCCTTAGTCTACACAGGGTGCTACCAGAAGGAAAGACTCCTCCTTCAGAGTGAGCGAGGCTGTGACTATGATAAGTGTAGTAGGTTAAACAGTCCACACCATCAACTCTGCAACCTGTGAACACGATGTCTTACATGACAAAAGGAACCTTACAGATGGAATTAAGGTTTTGGACCTTAAAGTAGGCAGATTATCCTGGATTCTTAGGAAAAGTATCCTAGATTATCAGAGTGGACTCTATCTAGTCACATGAGTCCTCAAAAGTGGAAGAAGGCAGAGGAATCAAAGAGATTCAATGGAGGAAAAACGAGGAAAGATGCAAAGATTGAGAGGAACTCAATCTGCCATTGCTGCTTTGAAGATGGAGGAAGACCATCAGAAACCTACATGCGGGCAGCCGCATGTAGAAGTTGGGAATAGCCCTCAGCTGACAGCCAGCAAGGAATGGCAACCTCAGTTCCACAACTGCAAGAAACTGAATTCTGCCAAAAATATGAATGATCACGTAAAAAGATTCTTCCTCAGGGCCTCCAGAAAGTAACTCAGTGCAGGCACCTTGATTTTAGCTTGGTGAGATCCATGTGGGACTTCTGAGCTACAGAAATGTGAGATAAAAAATTTATCTTGTTTTAGGTCCTAAAATTTGAAATAATTTATTACGGCAGCGATAGAAAACTAATAAACTAAGGATTTTGCGAAAATGTTGCAATGAAGTAAACTGTGAAACTGTGGTGAGTAAACTGTGGGGGCATAAAATCTAGGAAAAGCTCAGTGGAAGAGTAAAGACTATTAACAAATTTATGGAACAAATGTAACTTAACAACCACATGCCAGGTAGAGGGGGGACAGTGGTGAACAATAATAGTGATTCTAATGAAGAGTAGCCTTTCCCCAGTATCCATCAATTGAAAGGAACATCTGTTATCATCAGTGAATGATCAGGAGTAGAAATATCACTTTCCTGGAGATGGATTCTACAGTGTGATAAAAATACCACTAAAGTTCATCTAGCTTCCTTCCTCCCAAATTCCTATTCCACAGACAATCTTTAAGTGTTAAGTTAGGCTCCGCTGAGACGTTCAAAGTGGGAGGATTGGTTCTGGCTCCGTGATCATGCATCACATTGACAGAGTGGGTGCACATGTGCCCATTATTAGTGAAGAGTTTGGCCTCTGGTCCCTTCACATCCTGTGTGATGCAGTCCCTGTGAATTCACTCTCTGGACCATGTCACCCTGCAGACTCAATCCAATGAAGAGCTGGACCTATGGCTCTGACAATCAACCTTGAAGGAACCAAGTGGAGTGTGGCCTCCATAATCACCTACAGTGATCCTCATCCTGAGGTTCCCTGGGGAAGGAACCTCAGGGCTGCACATGGTCCCTTCTCCATGGGGGCAATGTGGCAGAAAAAGGACAGCCTGGGACGTGCGGGTGGGACAGGGACCAAACTTCTCCCAGCAGCACAAATTTCTGTGTAAATTATATAATTTACTTAACCTGGCTCTGCCTCACTTTCCACATTATCGAAATAAGACTACCTCACAGTGTTGTGAGGATTAAATGAGTGAAATTCACTAAAAGCATTTAGCACAACACCCAGTACATTTTACATTATCTTTTGAGTTAATTATTGTTGTTCAAATCCCAGCTGTCATTCACTTGCTAAGTCACCTTTGGAAAGTTAATTCAATTTTCTACACCTTATTTACTTATCTACAGAAAGGAGAAAATAAAGTGGTGTCAAACTCAACTGTCAAGTGGAATAATGGAATTAATATTAGTGAAGTGCTTCACATAGTGTGTGCATTTAGTAAGTATTTTATTGTTGTGATGAGTTGCTGTTAAAGAGGAGGCCCTCAGCTCCAGGCTGGGCAGGAGAAAGCAAGCAGGATACTTCAGCCTGAGGGTCCCCATTCCCATCGGCAGAGCTTGGGTTCACTGGGGTCTCCAGGGAAACGTCAGACACTAAGTCAGTAACAAGGGAACTCTGCACTCCTGTCTGCGCTGGGCAAATGGTCAAGGCAGTTAGATCCCTTGTCTTAATTCTGAAAACAGGGCACACAGGCCCAGAGAAGGAGGTGTGCAGGAAGCTGTAGATATGAGATCCATCCATGGCATTGTGGAATGAGACCTCACCAGTCTCATAGTCCAAGAAAACTCCCACTTTTTGAAGAGGGTTGGCAACTTCCAGGATGGTCTTGAAGTAAGTGAGAGAATGATAGCCTATCGACGTGGACAGCCCCAGAATCCAGAATCCGTTCCCAGGTGACATTTTAACCCATTTTTTCCTCTCCACATGCTCCTCACACACCCCAACATACCACTCTTCCCTGTCCCCCACCACCACCTCCCAGAAATGTCTCCCTGACGTGAAGCTGTTGAAGCCAAGAACACAGTAATGTATATCAAATCTCTTCCGCTTGGGTGGCAGATTCCGTCGTATGATTCCCCGCCACAGGCTCCTCCGGTCCTCAGAAACACGAAGTTCAGGATGTGCTGTGTCCGGATCCAAAATCACTTCCACTGCAGAAAGTTCAAGGATTGGCTGTGGAGTCAGCTTTGTTCCTAGACCTCAGGGCCTCAGCTTTCAAAGCCTGGGTCTGGCTGAGCAGGTCTGATTCCAGAGCCTGGTGTCCCCAGCCTGCCCTGAATGTCACCCCCTCAGCAATACCAAAAGAAAGGCTCAGGGGTCTTGTGTTCAGTAGAGTAGAGTGCTGAGGGTCAGGGTCTGCCTAATCCAATATCTCAAGCTGGCTCGTTCCTTCCATCTTTTTCCTACTTCCCTCCCCAAAATGACTGCCCACCTGTGCTTTATAGTCACATAGATTTACATTTCAATCCCTGCTCTACCACCCATGAGCTGAGAAAATTTCCTTTCCTGCAGTCTCTTTTTCCATAGACCCAACTTACATAATACCTTTTAGCCTCAATTTCCTTATTTGAAAAATGGGGATAAAAATACTAATCTCTAGGGTAGAAAAAGGTCTTTCATATGTAGCCCAGGGCCGGGTATGGAGAAGTGCCTGATATTATAATAGCATAATAGCATATGCCTTCTCTGTGCTAAAGGTCATGCCGGGGGCTTTTTCTGTGCTCCCAGATCCACTCTCCAAATTTCTCTACCCTCTTCTGGGCCCCAGGAATCTATTCTCTGTGGACAACATCACTGGGCTTTCTTGACACTGGTTACTTGTGGGTTTGGCCAATGGGAGGTACTAGCTGAAGATTGGAAGGAGAAAGAAAAGAGACGCACAGCATTTAATTCCCCTGCTTCATCCCTGTCAACCTCAGATGGTGATGCTCTAACAAAGGCATGACTCCTCTCAGACAGCCGTGTCCTTGAGCTACAGCTTCCTCTGGGCTCCAGTAACTGCTCCCTCTCCCTATTCCTTCAAGCCTAGGGTGGTAACAGCTTCCCACTACTGTGAGCCATGGGGCACTTCACATTCCCTTGTTGATTTACCTTGACCCCACTCCTGCCTTTCTAAAGAGCTCCTTCCTGAACTTTCTTCAATCGTCCAATTTGAACGTCATCTCTTTTTTATTGTTTTTTATCAAAGCACATTCATTACCTCATTTACTCTTTACCTCAACTCTCACATAATAGAGATTATGATCATCATTTAAAAATGAGATAACTAAAGTTCAGAAACATTAAATAACATGGGGACACACAGCAGCAGGAGGTGGCATAAGAAGCTTCGGAGAAGCAAAGATCTATGCTCATTGCCTTCTCTACTTGAACATTCCACATCCTCACTCTCCCTGCTGTATTAGTTCGCTCTGCCTCTCCTTTCCCTCAGCTCTACCCCTTATGCCTCTTCCTTCCGGTGAAGATCTGTGGAATCCCAGGAGAGCAATTCTCCCTGCTTCTCTGGGCTCTCAGCGGGAGCTGAGGAGCACACCTTTGTGTGGGAGATGGGCACACCTTTGAGGCCAGGGCATCAATTCACCCATCCAGAACTCACCCTGTCTTGGAGACTTTTCTTCCCAGAATCTCATGAGTTGGAGAAGAAAAAGGGAGTGTGTTCCCTCAGCTTGTTGTCCTAGGGAACATACAGTGATTCACTTACCAGCTTGGAAGAGGGCCATCTTCGATTCTGAAAGGCAGGAGACATGGGTAAGGAAAGGGCATTATTTCTGTACTTGCCCCCACCATTCTCCTCAGTAAGCCATTTCTCTCTCCCTTTCATCAGTCTCTTCCAGTGTCCAGCTTCCTTCCTCTACAGCTCTGCTGCATCAGGCATAGAACCTCTCAAAAATGGTGGACTTCCCTCCTTCAGTCATGCTGGGGCTGCAGGTGACATGTCCAGGCCTTGCTAGGGTGTGGGCATGTGTGCTAGCATGGTGAGGGTTGGCAGAAAATGCCCAGACACTGTGTCTGGAAGGTCCTCTCTGAGGCTGCAGAAAAGTGTGGGTGGTATTCCCCACAGAAAATGAGCCGTTGGGCTAGATCTGATTATTCCTTCTGGGAATGCCAATGGGTCACACAGCAGAGAAAATCTTTAAATGTTTAGTACAAGTGTGATAGGAAACTCAGAAACATCAGGGTCACTCACCTCCACAGGTCTGAGACTTCTCTCCACCTACAATAGAAGAAAGGTAGAGATGTCACCTGAACTGTGTCTTCTCTGAGTCATGTCCTTTCTCTTCTTTTGCACCTACCTAATCTTTCCTTTTGACCTCCACCCTCACCCTTACTACATTCTCCTTGGGCCTGTTCAGTACTGTCCTCCTCTCTCCTCCTTAATATCAATTCTGAGAACATCAATTGCATGCTGATGATACCACAGGCACCATGTAAGTGCTTTCCCTGCTGAGACCTGGCAGATCTATTCTGTATGTATCTACACTCCCTTACCTGGGCGCAGGTGTCACTGTGTGTACATGACTATGTGTGTGCACTATAATCCATCTGTCTCAAGCTGTATTACGTCCTGCCTACTTCTGAAAGAATTGGACAACTTAATGAGGAAATTTCAGATACTATTTTTTTATTAAAAGCAGTTCTAACATATCTATCACAACTGAGCCATTGTGGCTATTCCTTTTTTAAAATACACTTTTTTCCCCTTCTCTGTTTTTCTCGTTCTTTTAAATCTTACATTCTTTGTTTCCTTCTCAGCAGCCTACAGATTATGTAAAGCAATTAGTGAGGTTCCCAGCATAGGGAAGGCCCTTCATCTAGAGAGTTCCATCCCCCTCCTCCTCCTTTCATTTCAAGTGCACCCTGGAGGTTCCCTGGTGCCTTGCTGGGCTGGAGAGTCTGAGGGCCCCTCCTGGAGAGAGATTGAGGGCCCTTTTCTCTATTAAAAAAACACAACTCCTTGTTCTTCCCTGAATCAGAAACCCTTCTTTTTTCCCTCCCTAAAGGGATCAGGGACATTTCTCAGCCCTGGGCAGATTTAAGGATGAGGACAGAGCAGGGAAATATCCCAGCACAGAGTCTTAGATGTGAATTCAGAGATAATGTCAGAGGCACTCACCAGCCATGAGTAGGAACTCTATCTTCTCTGCAATGGAAGAAATGTGAAGAGTCATTAAGATGCTTAAAGCAGCAATACCCAGACATGCCAGGGTCCCTGGGGCAATCAGAACTTACCGAATTCATGCAGGAGCTTCTCTAGAAAATAAGCAGGAAAAAAAATTATTGTTATGGGATCCATCCAGGAGAACTTCTGGAACATAAACCTTACAAATGACCCTGTGAAGGGTTGGGTGCATGGGGTTGGGCAGGGTCAGGTTCTTGGGTTCCCTCCCATAAACCATAGCAATAGCTTCCCTTCCTGGTCAGATACCTCTTGCCCTTCGTTCTAAATCCTTTTCTGCTTCTTCTCTCTCTTTTTCCCAGGATAGAACCTGTTTCTCCTTCTGCGTTTGCCAGAGGAAGTAACCCATCCCTGCGAGAAGCAGCAGCAAGACAGGCAGGGTTCCAGCCAGGGTTGCCATCCAGGTACTGGCCCTCCAGAAGAAGGGGTCTGCAATGGAATGGAGCTTTAGCCTCTCACCCCCAGGGCAGGGAGCACAGAGTTGGTCTCAAGACATAAGTGTTCCTTCTCCTTCTAAAGTATCAGGGAACTTTAGATAAGACTTCGGTAAACTCTTACTATAACATAACGATATTACTCGTCTTGAACTGTCTGCTTCTCACATCTAAATATGAGTTACTTGAGCATCACAATCTTATGTGTTTTCTAATTTAGTTTTTCATATGTTACATTTACATGGTTAAAAGGTCAAAAAAATATAAAAATTCATCCAGGACTCCCATCCATTCCCTCCTCCCTTTCCCCATTTATTAACTTCTCATTAATCAGCTTAATATGGTGGGTGGTTAAGAGTAGGAACTTAGGAGCTGGAGAGCCTGGGTTCCAATTCTGGCTCCTCCACTTGACTAGCAGTGTGATCTTGGACTAATTACTTAACCACTCTGTTCCTGGCGTCCTAATCTGTAACATGGGATAATAATAGTACCTCACTCACAAGGTTAAAAAATTCAATTGATGCTTATAAAGTGCCTGACACATGGTGAGTGCTATGCAAGTGTGTATTAAATTTTAAAAATATAAATATATTCTTATATTTTCTTGTTTACACCCAAGATAGCATTCGATAAAAACTGCTCTGCATCTGGCTTTCTCTTCATATTAGAGAACCTGCCATATTAGTACAGAGAAAATGTCTGTGTTTTCTCTCCCAGCTGTGCAACATTCCATTGCATGCCAGTTCCCCATTGATGGACATGTTCATAGTTCCTAACTTTTTGCTATTATAATTACTTCTGTAAGAAATAAACTTTTCATGGTTTATTTCATAAAAATGCAAGCATATCTGTCAGAGAAATTCCCAGAAGAGAGATTTTGGATCAAGAAATATATGGTTTGGAGAAATACTGCTATATTGCTGGCATTGGAAGTTAATGCCAATTTATATCAAAAATATACCAAAGTATACCAGCAAATGTCTAAAAGTGACCATCTCTCTACAATCCTGCCATCATAATATGTGATCTGCCTCCTTCGTTTTGTTTTCTTTTCTTTTGTTGCCAATTTCACAAGTAGAAAATATTTTAACACGTTCCTCTATTGAGAGAGATGAGACATCATCTCATGTGTTATTTCACATGTACAACTCATATCTTACAGGCCAAACTATTATCCTTAAAATATTTTAACACCTTCCTCTATTGAGAGAGATGAGACATCATCTCATGTGTTATTTCCTTTTCTGTGAACTAATAATGCATGTACTGTGCTCATTTTTCTACTGGCTTGTTTTATATTTTAAGGAGAATAGTTCTTTCTGTAAGATATGAGTTGTACATGTTTTTCCCATTTTGTCATTTGTCTCTGCTTAAGGGTCTGATCTTTACCATTTTCCCCCAATTCTCACTGCCTGTCACAGTTTCTGCCACGTAGGACTTAGGCAGTAATAAATGTGACAAAAACACAGCTTTCTGGGGAAAAGAAACATCCAGAAACATGCCTGGAGTAAGAAAGAGGCTCAAGATCCCTGCTCTGTGCCTCATATTCACTACAGAGAGCCAAGACAGCAACAGAGAATCACACATTCTCCTTCTTTCAGTAGCCATAGCCCAGCACCATTTACCTGAAGCTAAGCAGGTACTGACCTGCAATGGAGATCCTGGCGGTCTTTTCCTGGCTGAGGAGGGGATTTCTGATGATACAGGATACCCCTTCCCCAGAGCTGCCTTTCATGATCACAGATGATGCGATTACATACAGGCCCTCTCCATCTGCAGCCGAAGATGCTGTCAAAGCCGGCATGTCTTCTCCTGTGGCATCTCTCCACTCTATTTGGAGCTGAGGATACCAACCGGTGGATGTGCACTCCAGACGGATCCCTCCATCCTCATAACCCCTCATTTCAATGTGAAAATCAGAACCCAGGGCTGTGGAAGGATAAATGAGCCTGAATTCTTTGGAGCCTCCTTTATCAGGGAAAGTCTCAACAAGAATTGAATGACACACTCACATTAGGTAATTCAAGAGGGGTTTCATTAAGGAGCTGTTTACAAAAGCATGGTCATGGTGAGGGGAAAACTACATGGGATAGAGAGAAACACCAAGGCCAGGAACAGTGGAGCTGTTACTACCCACCCCAAAACCCAAAGGGAGGAGGAGAGAAAGCCATTTTAAAGACCTAAAATATCATGGTAATGTAGAGAGGGCTTTCTTAAGAGGAACGGTGATCTTCAGGAAGCAAATGCAGCCAGCTAGAGGTGGTCCTGCAGGGAACAAGCCATGAGGATAAGTGCCTAGACCTCTCTCTCCTCTCACCCTCCTTCCATCTTCTGCTATGGCTCCCCATTAGCCAAACCCAGCCAGGAGCCACAGGGCAAGAGAGTGATCTGAGAAAGAGAAATGCAACCCTTGACGTCTGGACATCTGCCTGGTCTTGGTGATCTCCTGTTGAACATAAGCAACTTCATTGAACATCAACATCAGACAAGGGCACTTTGTCACTATGATGGGTCAAGACAAAAACATGACCACTCACACAATCGTGTTTGAATATAGAGAAAAATATGAACACTGTCCAAACCACAATCATGACCAAACATTTTCCTATCCTGGCTATGAGTGACTGCTGCTCCTTGACCAATTACAGCTTTAACCTCACTCTAGTCTTCCTCCTAGATAAGACGTCTTAAGATAGCCACCCACAGAATCACACCCTTCACCTTCCTGACAGCTTCCAATCCAGAGAAAGCCCCACTTCCCTTTACCCTCCCCAACTCCAAACTAACAGAAGCCCAAGTTCTATACCAAGTCTTCTCTAACACCCTCTTACTGAGACACACCATGGTTCCCACAGGACATGCATTCTCCCCCCGCTGCAAGAAGTATGAAAACAACTTGGTCAACTCCAGGTATGTTCCTAGGGGCCTGTGGTGGGACAACATGGGCAGCACAGATGCTGTCCCACAGGTGTGCCTCCCAGGCCCACAGCAACATGCACCTGGATAGACTACTGAAGCTACCTGGAACACAACTGAACCCAAACACCTGTGTGCCATCACGGAGGAGATATTTCCTTATCCTTCCTATCCTCGATCTTCCACTTCCCTGCTTAGACCGCGGTGGCCAGCATGAGGGAGCTCTTTACTTGACGTTATAGGGTACAGGGGGGATTTTTCCTGGAGGAAAACCTGTGCCTTTCCCAAGCGCCTGGAGAAACAAAGAAGGAAGGCAGTAGAGGCAGATCCTGGTTAACAGCCAGAATGCTCTGAGGGGGATTAGGAGCATGAACTCCGCCTCTGACCCCAGGTCCCTCAGGGGAACGAGCTCAAAATAAAACTAGGAGGCTCACCTGCAACCTCCAGCTCCACCATGGCTTTTTCAGAGAAGTTTTCATCTTGGAAATAACACAGGTAGCTTCCGCTGTCAGAGGCTCTGACATCATAAATTCGGAGAGTAGCCTTCCCTTCAGTGATGCCATCTCTTAAAATAGACGTTCTCCCTCGATACTCTGCCATCTGTTGCTCTTCTACTTCCTGCCCGTTTGCATACTCATATACTACCTGCCCAAGACTAGATTTCACCCACATCAGCTCCATGGTCTCTGCGCTCATCTTGGGGGACACATGACAGGGCAGATCAGCATCTTCACCCACCATGGCGAGGATGGGCCCAAAGGGTCCAATCACAGAAAATTGAGCTGGTCAGCAAAAGGAGAAGCTCCATCAGAGGGAGTTGGGGCTATGAGGGTAAGAGCGAGGGGTCTTAGGCAGGGAGGTGAGATATGAAAAACCTAGAGAGGAACAGGATCCTAACAGAAGTACAATTTCTCTTAATGGCATTTGCGCCTTCAATCTGGAATGGGACTTCCAGGTATGAGATGTTGTCAGAGGTTCTGACTGGATGCTAATAGGTAACTGTCTCCTTCAGATGCATAAAAGCAGAATGATTCCTACCTGAGCAAGGGGTAAGCAACTGGACCAAGACGAGGCAGACAAGGAGGTCGAGCAGAGGGGAGTCTAGGGAACTTGCCATTTTCCTCTGTGCTGCAGAGAGAAGCCAAAAAAGAGTCCGGCAGAAACTACAACCTGGAAGAAGATGGCAAATTCCACATCAAACCACCACCTCCCCAGAGCCAGCTCCGAGTGAAATACACAGTCGCTAGTGTGGTGACTCAAGATCTTCCTCTGCCAAAATATCTGCTTGGGAGTCTCTTAACTTTTGAGTTTCAAAAGGGAAAATCACTCACAAAAATATGTAATGCTAATGCTAAAAATATGTGCATACATTTAACATATAAATGTTATGTGTGTAGTGTTAAATGTACATGAATTATCCCTAATCCATCAGGAAATCCTTGGCTCTACTGGCCAAATATGTCAGAATCCTTCCACTTTCCCACACTTCCACTGCTACAGCCAGGTCCAAGCCTCCGCCGCCACACTCTGATTAATGCAGGACCCTCCTCTCTGGGTCCCCTAATTCCACCTATGTCCCCTACAGTCTATGCTCAACACAATAGCCAGAACATTCCTTGAGTCACATCATGTCACCCCTCTGCTCAGCACCTTCCAGTGGCTCCCATTTCACTCAGAGTAGATGCTGAAGTCCTCACAATGGCTAGCATGGCCTTCCAGGACCTGCACCTCTCACTTCCTCTCCCCTGCTCTCCTCGTCTGCTCCAGCCACACTGGCCTTCTTGCTGGTCCTTGAACAGGCCAGTACAGAGGGCCTCAGCCCTGACTCTTTCCTCTACCTGGAACCATTTCCCCCCAGATATCCACAACGCTCACTCCCTCACCTCCTTTAAATCTTTTCTCTAAAGTCAGTTCCTCCATGAGACCTTCTCTGACCACAGGATTATGGCAAACTACTCCAGTCCTCCTGTGCCTGCTCTCTATCCCCGTTGAATTTTCACCATCTAACGTACCATGTTTTTACCATCTGTCTCCATCTGCTCGAGTGGAAGCTCCACAAAGCAGGGATATTTATATATTTTGTTTCCTGATGTATATCAAGCCCGCACAACAGTGTGTGGGTCACACGGAACACTCAGAAAATATTTGTTGAAGGAGTGAAAGGATGAGGGGTAACATATTAACCCATTAATACTCAATAGCATTTTAAATCGGTTTAGATGATCACATTAGCTAGTTGTCATCTGACAGGAGGGGAGGTGGAGACTTGTAAGACAAGCATGTGCCTCTATAATGACATGCTCTTTTGGTTTGGCTTAGAGGGCAGAGCTTGACCTCTTGTGCTCCCACTGGGACTTTCCTATATTAATGGATTTATTCCTAATTTTCAATGAAGTGTTTTCAAGGAGACAGCATGTCCTGGTTATGCATGTAAGAATGTTACTACTCAGTGTGCCTCAGTGCACTCTTTTCACAACTGTTCCTTGTGGGAAAACATCTCTGAGAAGGAAATTATTTATTTCCAGTCTTCACCAATGAAGTGTGAAGTGTTTACCAATGCTTCCAGTGTTCACCAGTGCTCTTTGGCAGATGGCCTCTGGAGTCACCAGCAACAGATAAGTTCCTCGTCTTAGTCTTTCCACTGCTAGAGAAGTGCCTTTTCGAGGCAGAGATGTAAGAGCCGGCGGTTGCAAAGTAGGGGCCAATATGTCAAGCTAGGATCACACAGCAGCAGCCCGACAAGCTCATGCCTCTACGAAGTGCTGAGGTTCTCTTAGCTCAGAGGCAGGGCCCCTGTGACTCCCCACTCACAGTCCAGTGCTCCCCACTCTATCGTGGCTCAGAAAAGTGCCTCCACCATCTTTTAGCCATGGTCTGTGGCATCACTGTGAACCTTTGTGATAAGGGAAGTGGGGGCCCTTGCCAGCTGGCAAGGCTTGATTCTAGCTGGAGTTCTAGCTTGGCTTCCATTCTAACTACCCCAGACTTGGCTGCATCCCTAGATAGTGGAGAGTCTGAGAGCAGGCCTAGGTGGATTACTCAGAGACAAGACTGAGATCACTGGACCTACCCCCCTCCTTTCTCCCTTGGTCCTCTCCCATCATGTATCTTCTCCTTCCCTGAAGATGTCAGGTGGAATGAGGTGCTGATAAATGACTTGAGGGTGTGCCCATCTGGGGAGCAACACTGCGGACTCCTCTAAGCCCCAACCCATGGCCGTGATTAAGTTCAACTCACGCCCCCATCAGACTCGGGTTAAGATCTAAGCAGACTCCTGGTGGACACTCTGGAGTCAATCAGAGGCTGAACCCACCACTTCTAAATGAGAAGGCTAGTGAATGGGAGAGCTGGGAACAAGACCAGGTCTCACCCATCTTTTCTTTCATTTGTTCATCAAATATTCACTGAGCAAACGCTATGTGCCAGGCCCACTATATGTTAGATGTAGGAACAAAAAAGCATGTGGAAACTAGGTAATGACTCTATGATTCACAAGCTGTGTGATCTTAGCCATGTGACAAAACCTATTTGAACCCAGTCACTCATGAAAGAACGTGAAATATGAACTTTAAAATGTGCATTAATGATCCAGCAATTCTACTCCAGATATCTGGTCCAGCAAAGCACTTCCCTGGGTCCGGAGAGAAGCATGTGTAAGGATGACACTGCAGCACTATTTTTAAAAGTAAAAAAGTGATCAACAGGGCTGGCCCTGTGGCGCAGCAGTTAAGTGCACAACTCTGTTTTAGCGGCCCAGGGTTCGCAGGTTCAGATGATGGGCACGCACTGAAGATGGACACGGATGTTAGCTCAAGGCCAGTCTTCCTCAGGTAAAAGAGGAGGATTGGCAGATGTTAACACAGGGCTGATCTTCCTCACAAAAAAAAAAAATGTCTAAAGGGACACATGCTACACTGAGAATTGGGGATTGAGTGAAAGATACTTTTGTCCTTTGCACCCTATACTTTGAAAATTATTTGAATGTGTTAAATTTTAAAAGTTTTCATGTATAACTTAATTAAGGATTGTTACAAATAATTATAGTGACTGTAACATACTAGTTGTTCAGAAAATATCAGCTCCTCCAAAACACACCAGCATGAGGCCCACAGTCACAGTACCTGCCAGTCCGGGAACTTCCGGGGGACAAGGGAGCAGGAGTCTGTGCAGCTGACTCTCCTTCAGACCCTTGTCTGAAACCTGGACACCCTCACACAGAATACTGCCTTTCAGTTCGTCCTCTGCTCGTCAAACTGCTCTCAATGCTGCTAGAGAGAGGACAGTATTATCATTAGTACAATAGGTAACAGCTTCTCTACTGTCCTCAGAGTGAGGAATACGTTTTTACTTATTTTTTAGGTTATTTATTGTTTTATCCAATATAAAATTGATTATAGACAATTTTAAGGTGAAGGAAAATATAAAAGAATAAAATTTAAATAATCTGTGATAGTAATCATGTATTTTGCGTTATGGGAATGTAAATATTTTTGGAAGTATTTTGGCCATATATTTGTACCAAATGTCTTCAAAACATTTCATTTTTTGACCCCAAATTCCATTTGTAGAAGTTATTCTTAAAGAAAAGAAATCAGATGTCACCACAAAGATTTATGTTTAAGGCTGTTTATCATAGTAAAATCTACAATAGCAAAATGTACATACAATTTAAATATTCAATTTGAACCCAATTTTATTACAATTATAAACAAAAACTCTTTATTAAAAACATGATTCCTCATGACTGTATGGAAATCCCCTACGATCAGACCGTGTGTTAACTGTCCTCCAACTGTTGTATATGTACGTGTATGTAGTATCAGAGGCTGGTTCAGATTTTTCTAAACTGTAACTAATTCTGTAAGAAACAGTGTTACATATAAATGTTCAAAGCACATCTCTCTTTAGAATTTCTTAGGATATATCCCCAGAGATGACCAGGAGAGATTACAAGAGTCCTTTGCTCCTTTCTGACCACAGGAAGTTCCTAAGAACATGCAGTTGGGAAGTTTCTTCGTTCAGGTTGACTCCCTCCCACCAGATTTCCCAGTGCAAGTCCTTACCTTTTGCATTGCCTCTCGCCCACACCCCACATCTCTTCACCACACACACAAGCACCAAACCCCTTTCTCTGGGTGTACCCACTCTCAGCTTTTTAGCCTCTCTCTTTCTAGTGCCTGAGGCCCTAGCTGTTACAAATTTCCCCCACTTACCCTTTGGCATTCCCATATGAGAATCAGAGCCCACAGAATGAAAGTAATCAACAGTTCTCCATTATGGTTAATAGTCTGCTCTGGAAGAAAGGGAAAAGAAAGAAAGGCTGCTCACTGTGACAAACAGGAACAGAGTCCCTTTTTGGAAGAATTGGTCTTTCAATTGGCTCGGGGGGTGTTGCTCATCAGTTGCTAGGCAGAAACCAGTGCGGAAGGTTAGAATGAAAACTGAAACTATATAGGATTGCAAACAATGAAGAAAAACTACGGCCCTGATTACCACACTGTTTGTGTCTCTCTGTTTACCTATTTTAGTCATTCATGTGTATGTTTGTGTATAATCAGTATTTCATTATATACACCTGTTATGTCTTTTATATCACAATAGATTTATCAGCAGAACTAAGCAGAAAAATTACAAGATTTTAAT